CAATAGGAACTATTAGGATAAAATTAGATTTTGGTTTTTGTTTAGAACTTGATAACGTGGTATATTAGAATGACATTAGTTTCATTTTGAAGTTGATTTTGCTAGTTTTTTATTTTACTTTGAATAATAAAGGCTTCAACATTTCTTTTTTAACAATTCTTCTCATTAATGCACCGGTTCTTTATGTGATGGTATGTTCAAATCTCAATTAAATAAAACTGAAAATATTTTCAACATTGAGAAAGAAACCACACGACCAAAGAACTCTTCAAATCTTTGGGACAAGAGACTTGGTCATATTTCAAAAACTAGAATGGAACTTTTGATTAAAAACCAAATCTTGCCTCCATTGAATTTCAACGATTTTGAATTTTATATTGATTGTGTCGAGAAAAATGACATGTAAAAGAAAAGAGGGTTCAACTAAGAGCAAACAACTTTTAGAAATAATCCATAGAGATATTTGTGGTCCTTTTCCCACACAAATAATTGAAGAAAATAAATATTTCATAACTTTCTTAGATGATTTTTCAGGCTACTGTTACATTTATTTGATTTCTGAAAAATCAAAAACCTTAGAAGTTTTCAAGATTTATACTATGAAAGATGCACACAAACTGTGGCAGACACCCTAGGCCTTTTGCTTTATTTTTACAAGAACATGGAATTGTAGCTCAATATATCATCCCTGGTACACCGGAGAAAAATGAAGTGGCTTAGAGAAGAATTAGAACCCTAATGGACATGGTAAGGAGTATGATTTGTAGGACTAATCTACCAAGTGCTTTTATCGAATTAGGGATGGACAATCATCAAAGCACTAGAACTAATAAATTCAAATTTGAGGAAGATGGTGAAATGGGGAATAAGGTAGAATAATTACCGAATGCAGCAACAATGATTGAATTTCCAAATCAAGTGGAAGAAAGTGAGAGTAATTATAATGATGATTGTGTCATTCAGCATGGCAATTGTAATATTGACGTGGTGTTGCATAGTGAGCAGCAAAGTAAAGATCATGCAGGGTACGTGTAGGTGGCAGCTCCAAGTGGCAATGACCACTGACTGGAGCATGGCACTAAAATCAGGAAATCAAGAAGCAGGGGACGTGGGGTGTTGTTGAATGATGAACAACATGCAGGAAATCAGAAAGCACATGTGGAGGAAGCACTGCCAATGGCAGCAACCACTGACTAAACTAACCAGTTTTGGCAGTCGGTGATGCTCCAATGCTTTTGAGGAAATCAAATAGGGTTAGAAAGTCAACATTCTCATCAGATTTTGTGTCTCTGGCAGAACCAGATTTTAATTTATCAGAGTTCGATGATCCTAGGACTTTCAAACAAGCCATCTCGGGTCCAAAAGCAAGCAAACAATTAGAAGCTATGGAGTCTGAATTATCACCAATGGAAGAAAACAAAGTATGGGAACTAGTGGAACCAAGAGAAGGCATGAAAACGAAAGGTTGTAAACGGGTGTTGAAGACCAAGAGAGACTCAAAGGGAAAATATAAAGAGACATAAGGTCAGATTGGTGGCCAAGGGATTCATTCAAAGAGAAGGTACCGATTATAAAGAAACTTCTAGTCTTGTACCAACGAAAGATGCATTCAAAGTAATCATGACGATGGTGGCACATTTTGACTTGATTTGCATCAAATGAATTAAAAACAACTTTCTTAAATTGTGATTTGAAGGAAAGTATATATATACGACACAACCAGAGAGTTTGAAGGAGAAAGGGAGAGAGCATTTAGTGTATATATTGAAAAAACCAATCTATGGTTTAAAACAAGCGTCGAGACAGTGGTATTTAAAGTTCTATCGTGTTGTTAAGGATCATAGCCTTGTGGAAAACCCTTATGATGCCCGCATTTACTTGAATGTCAGTGGGAGCAATTTCATTATTTTGGTACTTAATGTTGATGACTTATTATTGGCTACAAATAGTTTAATTTTCTTAGATGATACCAAGTCAGTGAGCCCTCTTATGTGATCGGCATCGAGATTAAAAGAGAGAAAAGAAAAAAAAAAATAGTGTTAGGGTTGTCAGAGAGAAGTTACATTGAGAAAGTTTTAAAGAGATTCAACATGTCAGCATGCGGCACAACTGAAATGCCTATATCGAAGAGTGCTAAGCTAAGCAAGGAGCAATGTCCCATAAATAATTTGGAAAAGGAAATGATGAAGGATAATCATTACACATCATTAGTAAGGAGCTTAATGAATACTCAAGTTTGTACTAAGCCAGGCCTATCTTTTACCATCAGTTTTTTTTAGGGAGATTCCAGTCTGGTGCAGGAGAAGCACACTGGAATGCTAAGAAAAGAATTCTAAGGTACCTGCAGAAAACTAAGTCTCATATGCTGGTTTATAAGAAGACTGAAAACTTGGTCTTAGAAGGATACAATGACGCGAACTTTGCTGATTACCCAGATGATTTGAAATCAACTTCAAGCTATGTGTTTATGATGGCTAATGGAGCTGTCTCTTAGAGGAGTGCCGAGCAAGACGTCATTGCATTCTTCGACAATGGTGGTTGAGTACTTGTCTTGTTGTGAAATTGTGAATTAGGTAGTTTGGTTCAAGGATTTATCAATGGTCTTCGTATTGTTGACTCAATCTCAAGACTTATTCAGCTTTACTGTGATAATAGTGCAGTGATTTTCTTCACAAAGAACAATAAGAGATACACTACTACAAGGAACCTGGAGATTAAGCTTCTTGTTGCTCATGAAAAGGTGATGATTGGTTTGGTTAAAATTAATTATTTGGAGACAGGTTCTATGATAGCAGATTCGTTGAACAAGGCCATTACAATGGCAGTATTCAAGAAACATATAAGGAAGATGGAAGTGCTAGAAGTTTTTGGTACTGCAGAACAGTGGGAGTTTTGATCATGTTTAAGACATTTGTTTTTCGGCATTGGTTGATTCAGGTATTTTTGGAATATGCATTAAAGTATTTATGTTTAAATCATCTTAACTAATAAAGTAATGCGCTGCTAGTTGCAAAGGTTTCCCAGAAATTGCAGTGTTATAGTTATGATACAGATACATTATGAAAGTGTATTTTGGATGACAAATTGTTTGAATTGTTGTAACAGAAAAGCAACTTAAAGTTCTCAGTACGAGACAATAAAGTGGACTAGTTTTAGCACACGAGAGCCTCAACCTAAGGAGTTTGACCCCTCTTGAACTTTCTTAGTAACTAAACGAAACCTTTCAGATATGTTTTTGCAGTTAAGCTTTTATACCAAAACCAAACCTTTTCTGGTGTAACAAGTAATATCACCTAACCATTCCCATCCAAATGAAATTCATAAAAGAGTGCAAAAGAAAATTGAGAGTTTGTTACCCCTAAAAGTGCTTTCACAAAGCTGCTTGATTGTTCCCTGTACTTTTCTTGTACCCGAGAAATGCAAGGACAAAAAAGGAAGTATATGCAACCGCATCAAATAGACAGCAAGCAAGAACAGTTGCCAACCTAAGTTTTGCAAGTTTTGAACTCATTTCAACGGAATTTGCCTGACGAAACATGTCAAATTATGAAGAGGAAAATCCAATTTATACGACTAGGAGGTTGATATTCTTATACATACAAGCAATTAACAATTCACTCAAAAAGAGAAGTAATTTCAGCAAAAGTGTAGGAATTTTGTATATTCATGTGAAAGCAAAGGGAAACACTATAAAAAGTAGGGCAGAAGCAGTCTACGAACGAAATTCTGGAGATTAACATCCCAAGGGCTGCATAGAGCTCCCACACAACGACTTCGTTGAACGAACTCTTTGATATTCCAAACTGATTTCTTGGTACAACTTACACTTTCTACAAACATGAATTCCTTCTATATATTACAGTTTCTACAAACATGAATTCCTTCTATATATACTTGGTCAATCAACTATTCCTAAACATTCGGTTTGACATGAATATCGTCTCTATACATACATGTATCGTTAAGTTCACCCATTATTCATACAACATATCACCACATTCAACTCACAACTACAACTAATTAATCTTGCATTCACCAATGTCTTCAGCATTACAGAAATACGACATCGAAGACTATGAAAACTTATAAATGCAACTGAAGGAACTCTTGAGTGAAGCTGAGACTCAGTAGTGGTTTTTGTGGAGAAATGCAAATGCAGGGAGCTACACGAGGAGGAGGATGAAGTTGCCAAATTCTTGGGGTGGAATCTACTTTTATGTCTGCTTTTTTCAGTTGTTTTTGTTCAAAAAATCCATATGGATATGGACCATCTAATTCACCATTTGGGTCTGAATACTGAAAACCATTCCAAAATTTTGATCACCACACCAAGCCTTTCCTCAAATTTAATTACGCACTGTAGTCAGAGAAGCTAGACTAAATAGGTTAGAGCCATAGTCATAGCAACTATAAAGGCATATGCAGTGCACCAAGAAAAGTAGGAAAATGTTTTTTTACACCCTCAATTTCTTACTATGTATTGATTTTCTTTAGATTTATTTATTCCGTCCTATAGAACTTAAGCAAAGCAAATGAAACAAGATGCAATATTAGAAGGGGTGATGTTTAATATTGATTATTTAGCTATGCATTTTGATTTTGTTAAGTTCGGGCTTGTTCGTGCGGAAGGTTACTTTGCTACTCGCATGGTGGCTTCGTTTGCTACCAAGCATGGTGGCAAGTTTCTTTGGGATGAGATTGGTCCGGATTTTTTATAGTATTCTTTCAGCTAATGTAAATCTTGTTATTCGACTTTAATAAATTTCTATCTTTTCAACAAAACAAAAAATCCATCTTTTCAACAACAAAAAATAAAAAATAAATCAAAACAAATTAAGGAGTAAATAAATACTGATAATAAACGAATATTTATCATTCAATAGAAAATGATAGAAAGTACACCAATGGTAATCAGTACAGGGCTAAAAAAAGAGAATTAAGTCCTAATTAATAAAATTGTTTATATCTTTTCTTGAGAACAGGAAATGAAGTGTATTGATTTAGAGAGCCAAAGCAACCCAGACAGACAGCCCGCTCAAAACAACCCGAACCGCATTCAAACCAGAAGCAAACGATTCATCGCTTGATGGACCCTGGGCAGCACTATCAGGTGACAGACTTGCCGGCGCCGGAATCGGTGGGCTACCCCCCCTTGAAGGGAAAATTCCCGGGGATCCTGCCGGTGTTGCAGAACTCGAAGGAATGCCCACTGGTAACGATGGGGTCTCTGCAATCTCAGGACCCTCTGCAACTGGCGAAGCACCGACCGGACTTTTCTTAGGAGCGCTCACCGGAGTTTTGGCCGGAGAGGCAACGGTGGGCGTAGGGGGCGCCGGTGATTGAGCCGGTGGAGACACACTCTTGGACGGGCTCTTCGCCGGAGAAACCGATGTGGGAGGGGACGCCCGAGAGACGGTGGGTGGGGTCGCCGCCGAAGGAGTTGGGGTCGGCGGGGAAGTTGGCGGAGAGGTCTTGGGAGAAGGCGAAGGCGGCGACTGAGTCGGAGGGCTCGGAGTGGACGCGGGAGGCTTTGCAGGAGAAGTGGTCGGAGAAGAAGCAGGAGAGGGTTGCGGAGGCGGCGGCTTTGTGGGGGTGTTGGTGGGTTTTGGGGAAGGAGCAGGCGCATTGCCTGCTTGTACCACATTGAAATGCGGGACGACGCACAGGAGAAGAACAGAGAGTACTACAACAAGTTTATGCATCTTTGGAATCTCCAAATGATACCTCAGATTAATATTGTTGTTGTGAATGATTGTTCAGTTCTGAGAGATTGAGGAAGGAGATGAATTTAAAGGGAAAAAGTTCTCTTCTGTTTTTTTTTTTTTTCCGAAAAATAATTGGGATTTAAAAACGTTGTGAAAAGAAGTGTCGGAAGTTTGTTCGCGGGACAAATCAGAAAATGCGACCGTTGGGGAAAGGTGGAATGGGGTGCCACTGGCTATAATCGGTAAAGTAGCCGTTACTTGGTACGACATGACAGGCTTGTCCGGTTGATTTGTCGTCGAATAACTGTAAGATTCGCGGTCGTCCACTGGGATGTAATCTTGTTGACTAATTTGTGAATGTTGTTCTGGTTTGGACCCCGTGGTGGATTCAAGAATTTTTTTTCAGAGGATCAAAGGGTAAAAGCTCTTCAACATGTTTAGAAAAAAATTAATTTTTAATTCAACAGTACTATTATCATTCACCATTGATAAAAAAATTAAAACATTACAAGTCACAACTGTCCACGATGAATTTTCATATACTAAACGTAACATTACCAAATTTGCTAAAAAAATACAATATTACAAGTTACAACCGTCCACGATGAATTTTCATATACCAAAAACGTAACTTTATAAATTTGCTAATTTTCAAAACAAGCTGCATAGAGATTTCATACCATTAAGTCATTGACAATGGTTGGTACAATTTTTATCTCTTGCATGATTTGTTTCCAGTTTTCAGTAGGGGTGGTTCGGTATGGGATACCATACCGAAACTAGTATCCCGAATCCCAAATGAAATTTTTCGGAACGGAAATTTGAAGACCAATCCCAAACCAAATTTTCGGGAATCCTGAAATATTTTCGGGATTTTGGGACAAATCGGGAATCCCAAATTGAAATATGAAATTATGAATTGTTCTTCAAATATATAATTCAAGAACACATTCATGAACTAGGAATTTCATTTCATTCACACTACCATTTAATTGAACACTGGCATGCTTGACTGTTTTTATCATAGTCAAAATTCAAATTAATTAAACCCTTTTTGCAATCTGTTGAGAGACAAAAGAATCAAGCCTTCTGAAATCATCAGTCATAGCAGCAGCAATAATAAAATCTACATGAATATCAAACAGAACATGAAAAATATGCAAGGTGTAGGGCATTCCAGGTTGCCGAGCATGAATTAGAAACTTCTAGCATCAATTATAAAAAGAATAATATATATATATGTATATGAATATATATATAATAATTAATATTATATATTTTCGATTTGGTATGGGATTCCCGAAATATCGAGAAGCCAATCCCGAATCCCATACCGAAATTTTGGGCTTGGTTCGGGATAGCATTCCGAAAATTTCGAGAATTTCAGTTTGGGAAATTTTTGGTTTGAGATCGGGATTTTTTCGGTTTGGTTCAGGATTTTCGGGAATTTTTTCCACCCCTAGTTTTCAGCCATTTGCCTAACTTTTGTTCCAAAATTAAACAAAAGAATTTGCACTACTTAACTTACACCAAACTTTTAGCATGCACCAGAGTCTCTAATTTCAATCCTTAAAAAGAGATCTGTAGGCTAATATTAATGTTTGTAAGAGAAATAAATCATCTGATATTTACATACTTTTCAGGCGTGAGATTGACATTTCTTTAATCGTATGGCGCAACGCATGACGTACAAAATTGTATTTTATCACGTGTATTCTGCAGGGGATAAAGATTTATGAATAGACTTTTTTGCTTTCATACATAACATTTGTGTTTTGGAGCCTATTGTTTTGTGCATTTGTGCTACAAGTATTATTTTAAACATTTAGATACAGTCAACTTACGTTATTGCATCATATGCTTATGATCGAGTGGCTAAGTAAATATTTTGTCTCATTATCATACATCATTCACACATTTGTCCAAGTTAGCTGAAAGTACAAAATTGATAACGCTTTTATTGTTAGAGATTAAGTGCTACACTTATTCTCTATTTGTAGCATTATTTGTACCATCTTTATAAAAGAGGTACGACTCACCAACATATGTGGATCTCATCTTTATTAGAGAAATGATACAAATAGAATATAAAAATAAAAATTTTGTTAATATATTTGTACAAAAGAAAAAAAAAATAAAGTGGGGAGCATAAATGAGGTGGGGATTTTTTTGTTTTTGTTTTTTTTTTCATACGATAGATTTTGTTAGATTAGCGTAGTAAAGAGCCGCTTGCTCATGATCTCGTTGTTGGCAAGTTCCATCTCCTCCTTATTCATCCGAGTAGCGTTATTAGAGAAATGATACAAATAGAATGTAAAAATAAAAATTTTGTTAAATATATTTGTACAAAAGAAAAAAAAAAAAAAAAAGTGGGGAGCATAAATGAGGTGGGGATTGTTGGGGATATCAGGGTCTCCCATGATCTCGTTTTTTTTTTTTTTTTTTTTTTTCATATGATATATTTTGTTAGATTAGCGTAGTAAAGAGCCGCTTGCTCATGATCTCGTTGTTGGCAAATTCCATCTCCTCCTTATTCGTCTGAGTAGCATTGTTGTGAACTTAAATGAGGGCTGGACGGAGGGGACGAATTTTCTTTTGTGATTGAGCCTAGAGCAAGCTATTGGAGCGTTTCAACTCCTCCTTGAATTCAATGATGCCTCCAACAGGTACAATACGTATTTCGGCTCCCACATATTTGGAACAATGATTAAAAGATGGCTTTAATTAACAGATCTAACAACGGTTTATTGGTCATATACTACCTGAAAGATAAAAAGAAGACAAACTAATTAAAATACAATAAAGAAAGGCACGTAGTTGGGAAAAGAACGTATGTTCAATCCTTCGAAATGGCGCCAATAATTTATGACTCGCAAGTGGATATTCCAAAGATATAGGTATGGTTTGGCATTGAGGTGCTTAAGAAAAAAAAAACTGCTGATTTTCAAAGTTTTTATGAGATATAGGTATGGTTTGGCATTGAGGTGCTTAAGAAAAAAAATACTTATTTTCAAAGTTTTTATGTTGAAGGTGTTTGGTAAACTAAACAGAGAGGGGTGTTTGATAAACTAAACAGAGAGGAGTGTTTTCTGTTGTCGAGGATTACAGACAGGAATTAGGAAGGAAGGTGCGCGGGCTGAAGAAGGGTTTAGAGTTAAAATGGGTTTTGATGCCACTTAACAAATGAAGATGGATAAAAGAAAGGGAAGTGTTATTAGCACTCCAAAAATCTCATTCTACACTCCTCACAAGTGTATTTTTCTTTCTAAATATAGAAAGTTTGGAGTGTAGAATGAGAATTTTGGGGTGCTAATAACAATTCCCAAAAGAATAATAGGAGACTTCTAGAGAGACTATTAATAAATAAAAGACATGGATTATTAATAAATGAAGATGAATAAAAGAAAGATAGGGCAAGTGTATTTTTCTTTCTAAATATAGAAAGTTTGGAATGTCAATAACAATTCCCAAAAGAAAAATAGGAGACTTCTAGAGAGACTATTAATAAATAAAAGACATGGATTATTAATAAATGAAGATGAATAAAAGAAAGATAGGGCTAGTTTATTATTTTACATTTAACACTATCATACTGCTTTTTTTTTCTTTTTTCAAAAGCTCTTTTACAAAAAAGTTTACCAAATACTCTGTTGCTTTATTTCACAGCTGATTATTCTCATATCACAGCAGAAGCAGTTCTTTTGTAATACCAAACCAGCCTATAGCCTATCAGAATACGAGATTGTACTCACGACGATTGTTAACGTTTTCTTGTTAATAACATTCCTTGATTTACCAATCACAAGCAAGACACAAAACTAACTAATAGACAATAAACTAAAAACGTGATTTGAAAATTAGTTTGAAGATATTATTGAAAACAACAAACAAAATAACAACGCACTGCAAGGGGAGCACATTCTAGGGTGTAGTAGACAATTTTCGTCATCTTCAGTCTTGACGAAAAAGTATCTACAAAATAATCAACACATTTGATCAATTTAGGAGTTAGGCCAACAGATCTCTGATGCCTAAGTTAGTTCTCTGTATAGAGTGAGTGTTTACGGTTTTTTGTATTATAGAAAAACTTGCCAAAATTTGGTGGAGATAAAAGTATTTATACGGAGGTGTGACCGACCATGGGTGTAGAGTTTTGCTCTACACATGACGGCATCCTATTGGCCAATATGTGTCATTGGTTGGATGAATGAGGTAAGAAAATTCCTAAGATATTAATTAGGAGATAATATCTAGGGATGATGGTGAGAGTATCCCTTATTGATTGAAATAGAGATTACTTAATTGAACATAGTTGATCTTTAATTAGGAATGTATTAAAGATATGATTTAGTAATTAATCATATTTTTAATGCCGTTGACTTTTTCTTGCCATGAGCAAGAGAGCTTTGAGCAGTCGTCGTCAGCTAGTTGAACTTCCAAGGATGTTGAGTCATGCGTGGGAGTATCTAAGAAGTCTGCCCATTTAATGAGGGCAATCTTGTCTTTCTTAGGCAAAAACTCACATGTAGCCTTGTGAATTTTTGTTATTATTTATGGCTCCAAAAAGTTCCCCACACATGTTGGGGCTACTGGCAGAAAAGAGCAGTGGGTGTAAAAATCTCAAGTTGCTTAGGTGAGTAGAGAGTTGTTTCCCAATTTGATGTAGATCTTCTACTTCGACTTTGAGATAAATTCTCTAGGAAGGGAAACTAATTGTCTCCCAAAACTTATTTAAGTCTGTAGTAAGCAGGGGGTTGAATAAATTTGAAGAGCAAATTTTATCCCTACAAGAAAGGGAGAAAGCTAGAGGAAAATTATTTCCTCTCCCATAACCTTCTTTTTCACTTGCCCGTGCACATAATTATTTCTCGTTGTTTTGCTTCTTCTCCGTGCCGCACCAAGGTAAGAAAAAATTCAATTTTCTTCGTCTTCTTAATTTTCTGAAACTCCAGGGTTTGAAAATTTGGCTCCACAGGGGGCCGAGGATGGGGTAAAGC